TTAACTAAAGCTTCAAACGAAGGTGAGTCAAAATCCGAATGCGAACTAAAGCTGCGAACGAAGGAGAACCAACGAAGAAAATTCCTAACACGAAAAGGAAGAATTGTGTGCGAGATCTGAAAAGATAGGAAAGGGTAAAATTGAAATAATGAAACGTTCCAAAATAACAATTCTAATGTTTTGCTATATTTGCAAATTTAAAAGAGGCTGGCATTTTTTGAAACATATAAAATAATTTTGCTACCCAATGAAATTACTTTTTTTTAATCTTTTACATTATTTTTTTTAGTAAAAATTACTACGTAGAGTAACAAAACTTAAATAGAAAGTCAAAATGGCAACACTATCTAAGATTAAAGTTCAATGTGAGGAAATTGAAAATTTATGATGACAATTGAAATTTGTAGGATATTAAATCTTAGATATGTGACCATCATGGTTTGAATCTATTTCCTCTTTCGAACTTCCGACTCTATAAACTTGGATGGCTTGCTTGTTTAGCTTGTCCCCTCTTTGAATGTGTACAGTTCGAGCAAGCAAATGGCTAGCAGGGCCGAGGAACCACAATGAACGGGACGACAGAAGTTACACAAGAATATGACCAGAGATATATATTCTTCTTCGTGCATGTAGGTCTGGTTCCTGAGAAAACAGATATATATTATTAGCGAGTTTCGCCATACAATAAAGAACCCGAGACAGGCTGAAATTAATGAATTTCCACGGTTGCCGCCGGCTAGCTAATATAATAGGGCGAGCAGCGTAATAGAGTCTCCAGGACGGACGACGTGAGTGAGAGCCCAGACCATAGCGGCTTTAGAGACTTCTCTCTCGACTTTAACGGCGACAAAAACTTTCTCCGAGAGGCTTTCTCTTTATAGGATCTGCTGAGGTTTTTGGCTAAGGGATTGTTAGATGCAAATCCAAGTAGTGTAATAGACTAGCTTCTAGGACCAGAGAAGGTCAAACTCTAGGGGGGCTGCCAGGTTTCGCCTACGCTACGGTTTCACAAGATTGAACCTTTTTTGTTCAACTGAAGTTAGTTATCACTCTAGGTCTCTCGAGCCTTGCTAGGGATATCGGATGCGGTAAGGATTCGTGTCGATCTCAACACCCGCTATAGGCGCGCGCATAAGTGACACAGGCCTCTGGTCGTCTGTCCCATATCATCTTTCTTTGGCTATACTTGTATGTATAGAGCCATGTTAGCTTCACGTGAGAGCCTAAACTTGGATGACTTGCTTGTTTAGCTCGACCCCTCTTTGAATGTGTACAGGTGACGGTGTATATGGGGCTCAAAGGAAGTACACAAGTCATCGCTATTTACCAGTGAGTGGTATTATTGGACTGGTCTTTTGGTGGGAAATGTTCTTCATTTTAGATAATGAAACCTTTCCATTACTATCAACCTAAAGAAATACGACCTGATTGTTCAGAGGGCGATCACGGAGTCAGTGAATGAAGTCCTCCGTTTCTTTCGGGGGTGCTGACCCGCAGCGAGGCAGAGATGACTAAGTTACATATGGAATATGGCGACGACAACATGTCGTAGAAGGAGAACAACCACAATTCCATTATCATCGAGAGGTCTTCTCCCCTGCCTTTCATTACTTACTAATATATACTAGTAGGAACTACAAACAGCTATCAAGATCCATTCTTATTTGAGTACCTAGGGAGGGAAAGTTCTTGAGCGTAGAATAAGAAAAGTCAGAACTTAGAGTTATACTACAAGCGTTGGTTCGAGACCGGCCAAGCAACCCCAGGGGTAGGAATAGAGAAGGACGTTGATCGAATCTTTCCATACCTAGTCCCAGCTTTGGTTAAAGATCCAGAGCGGGCTACAGATCTATACCAGATTGGGGGCAGTGAAGTAGGTAAAGTGGTTGGATTTTGCGAGCTATTCCAACCACGGCTGGATGTGAATGAAATACAAGTGGATTGCATTCGAAAATCAGCTCTGTAGGATTTGAACCTATGACATCGGGATTTGGAGACCTCATTCCTCCTCTTTTCTCTTACATCCCTTAGATCCACACATTGCCCTATTGTGTAAGGGCTGTCTCTTATACACATCTGGCCTGTATTTCATTCCTCCTCTTTTCTCTTACATCCCTTAGATCCACACATTGCCCTATTTTGTATGGGTCTTTGTGAAAAAGACGCGCTAGGCTAGCACTAGAATAATATACAAGGTTAGGCTTCAAAGCTTTTAGTTTAGGGTTGCGCAGGCACTGGTACCTCAAGCCATTCTCGAAGTGGACCTGACCGTCGTCCAACATCCTAACAAAGCTGCAATGTTGAAAGAAACCCAACTCAATATCCAATTAGGACAAATTCAATAGCTTGCTTTAGGGTCGAATCTTTTACTGTGCCATAAGTGTTTCAAGTCATTCAATTAAAGAGTTCCTGCCACCTATGCAGCTTCCTCTATTGATAGGTTCCAAGAGTCTCCGCTAATTAAACCTCGTCCAGTAGACTCCCTATTTGGGAGGAGCCCCCATCCAAAAAGTCGAGAAATAAAGAAGCGACGTTCGTGAGAATCCAAGATTTCCATGAGACGGGTATCTGGATTCCCATGTTTATTGTCCATGAATGTAAGATACCCAAGTATCTCAAGATGCCATACAGGAGGCATCCGAGTTGTCTTGGATGCCATTTTGTAACATGGATTTCCATGATTCCAATGTCGAGGGTATCATATGTTAACATTTTTGCCTCTTCATTATTTTTCATATATTTTATTTTTATCAAATTTCCTTATTTTATTTTTATCAAATTTCCTTACTTTTATTTATAATTTTATAATTTAAATAAATGAATGTACTCACTGATAAATAAAAAATTTATGCAATTAAGTATATTTATATATTACATGTACATATAAAATAAGCTTCAATTAAATTATACAATATCTCTATTTACTTTTAATATTTGAAAGGAATTATTATGAATAATATCTATTATCTTAGATACATAATTTTAAAGCAATATTTTTTTAATGATAAGCTTACATTTGATATTTTTCTTCTTAAAAGAATGTAATTTGATAATATAATAAATGAATTTCACCTCAGATAACATTAATTATACTAGTTCGATACTTCGTACAAATGCACGAATATTTTCTATTTAACTTAATTTTACAATAACATAAATAAATGAGAAAAAACAATATTAGTGTAACAATAACAATAATAAACAAAAAAAGAAAAAAATTAAGATGTATATATACAAACTTCATTAAAATATAGGTACTTTACTAATTTAATCATTTAATCTATGAATGTATTTAAATTGCATTGTTTCGTACCTCTTAAAAGAATTTTATATTTGATTAAGAAATGTATAAATACTTTAATTTTTTATTTTAATGTTATTTTATCTAATTTTGGTCCATTATTTTCTAAAAATATTTTGTTCGTTTATTAAAAATTCTAAAAAAATTTCAAGCTAACATTGTGTTATATATTAAATATTTTAGTTTATACTAATTTAAATTCAAGTTAGTATATTCCAACTTTTTAGATTTCATACAAATTATTGTACATAATTAATTTATTAATTTACTATTTACAATTAATTAAAACTTTATGACCTTACACAAATTTTTTTTCAACAAAATCAACATGAACTTGTAATAGATCAATATATTATTATTATTTTCTCAAAAAACATTCTAAATACATAAAACACTAATTATAAAAGAACAATACAAAACAATAGTAACAAAAAAATCAAAGTTTATCAATACACTAATCTAAAATATGTTGATGCTTAACAATCACTATTATTTTACCTCATAAATTATGGAACGATGATCTCGCAAGCCTTGGATTCAAGATATAGTGTCGACACATGTATTCTCTATGACTTGATGAATATGTCGCCAACATGATTTTGAGATGTTTTTKAGATTGAATAATATTTGAGARCAATGTTTTGAGAGAATTAAGTGTTGTGAAAAAATAGYGAAAGAAAGTATGTTTTTATAGTATTAGGAGATAAAACGTTACAAAACTCTTGTAATTCTATTATAAATTGTAATTAAAGAAAATAATTTAATTTAATAGGGTGAAAAACCTTTTGTATTCTAACATTGTTTAGATCATGGATATTTATTATTATATTATTATTGATAATTAATAATCAATAATTAATTTAATATTTATAATAAATTATTAATAACATAATTTGTAAATTAATAAATTAAGAAAGGGACAAAAGCGTCCAAAAATGTTTGTCCGAGATCCTCCCATTTTAATATAGTATAGATAATTGTATATTTTGGAAAATATTAAAGTTGAAAATGAAATTTATATTCAACGTTAATTACTTTTTAAAAAGTCTTATAATTCTACCTAATCACATAAAAAATTAATATATATACAATTAATATAAAAAATCACAATATTAAATTAATTAAAAAAATCTATTACATAAATGCAAATTATATTGGATTAATTTATAAATTATATGAATATTCGTAATGACATTTTTGGAACATTATACAAATTTAGAACATTCTCGTGAATAAATACTGTAAAACAAACGTGGCTATATCCATATTTTCCCAAATATCCTTATATATTTTCTTACGAAACAGACGTGGTCATCTAAAGATGCCAGACATCTAAAGTTCCGAACAACTGAAATATTACATGATGTCGGACATCTACATTACCAAAAAACAAACGACTCCTAATTCTTTACTATTTACCTTGGCCCTTATTGACCACTAGACTATACCATGATAGTTTTTATAATGACAATTAGTACAATAAATTTAAAAGTATCAATTTGAACATAACTCAAAAGAAATCCATCTCCGACCAAACGGTTATGAGTCGATTCCTCGCTCGCACACATGCTGTATTTGGGGAAAAAATTCAAAGGTATGTGGCAGAATGGTAATACTAGAAGAATTGAGGGTAGGCGTGCAAAAAAAAGAAGAAAATAGTAAATTAGGTTCTAGAAATCGAAGACAGTGAAGCATTACGCATAGCACGTAACGCAACAGCAAAAACTTCTCGTTTTCGTTTTCGTCTTCGTTTCCATTTTCCATTTTCCTCTCGTCGTCTTCTCCATTAGATCTTGTTTCTTCTGCAACACCAACCCTTTTCCTTTCACTCAGAGATTTGAAACGAAACCAAACACCGAGGGATCAGCCAATCACACACAGAAACTGGCATATGGGTTGCAGAAACAGGGATTTTTCGGAAGATGAGACTTGTTCTTCCACGCTCAGCGAGGCCTTACTCTTTGCCACCATGTGCCTCATTGGCCTTCCCGTTGAGGTTCATGTCAAAGATGGCTCTGTCTATTCCGGCATCTTCCACACTGCCTGTCTCGACAATGAATATGGTGTGTTTTCCTAACCTTCTTCATCTATTATTTGTTAGAATGCTTGTGTTTGTGTTCATTCTTTATGTGAATTGTGTCTTGGGTTTGCCGGTGACCCTGATTGTGAATTGGATCCGAATTTTGATCTGGGCATTGATGGGATGGATGAAAAGATTGCTGAATGTTTAGAAATTACCATTGATCAAGTTCGTAGATTTTGACCTTTTCTTTGATGTTTTACGATGCGATTTAATCGTTCGATGTTTTTATTAGAAACTACTTCGATCCAACCCCTTTGCTTTTTCCTATACATCGTGAAACGGCGATGGTCATGGAATCAATCTTTGTATTTTTGCTAGGCGTTGTTCTGAAGAAAGCTAGGATGACAAAAAAGGGTAAAAGGAATGTGAATGTCGATGATGGCGCTGTAATTGATACTCTTATTGTTCTTTCTGGTGATCTTGTTCAAGTTGTCGCGACGGTATGTAATTAGGGTCACTTTTATTTTGCTTCTCCTAATTCTCATTTTATTTAATTTAATTTAGTATAAATCTAGGTCATATTGAGTTCTGGGCTATTTCCAATGTACAGGAAGTTCTACTCCCGGCTGGTAGTTTTTCCAAAAGTTTGGTTGGTTATGATAATGAAGCCATGGCCAATGTTCCTGTTTCACTGCTTCCAACGGTGGAGGCTAAGACATGTATGGAGTCATTCAAGGAGGGGAGTCAGATTAATCAAATAAGGTATACTCCCATTGTGACATTGTATATTTATATGATGGACAAAGAGCAATCTGGTCTAAATTTTGGAGGTTGATATTCTTTTGTTTCTTATAAGAAAAAAAACAGATATTCTTTTGTCAGTGGCATTTGGACTGATATTAGTAATAAATGTTCCTCACAAAGCATGGTTGTTGTTGGAAGATAGTTTTCAAGGTCACTGCTGGTACTAATGCAACCTTGTTTATTACGTGAAAACAAATTAGCTACAGATTAACTTACCAAAAAGGTATTGCAATCTATGATAAGGAATAGAGTCAATTCAGCCTCTTACATAAAATTAGAACTGAGGGTTTTGTCCTTAAAAGAGTGCCTTTTCCATGATTGAGAAGGTTACGCTGTCTTCAAAATGATCTTGTTTCTTCTTGATTTTTTTTGGAAAGTATATTCTGTTCTCTCCTACTTGGTTTTACATATATACTAGATAGATCCTTGCAATACTAAATCAACTACATGAAATTAGCTTCAGGAAATTATTAATTATTGCATGATTGAGTTGTGGGCGTCATTTAGAAAGCCATAACCTGTTGCTTAATAATCCATATTTGAAGATGGGAGAAGGTTCTTCAATTATTTTCTACTCTGATTTATGTGCTTAGTTTTATCGGCGTGACTACCAACCACACATTTCACTTTTAAAAGCAGCAACTTGGTCCAAGATCAAAATGGGTTTGCTCATGGTTCAGTGCCTACTATAACTGGGAAGCATAGCGATGTTAGACAGCTTTTGCGAGATAACATTGAGAGCAACCAGGGGGATGCACAGCAGAAAAGGGAAAGGATTAATTGCAAGAAGGTGAACTTTAATGCCTTGGTTGCATGGTAGAAACTCACTCACGCAGAGTATGCTTTTGAAAGTAAAAGTTTAAATGGAGCAATGACCCTATTAAAAGGATAGTTAAGAATGACTCACGTGTTTAAACATTTCCTAAAAAGAATGGCTCATGTATTTTTTAAGATTTGACTCCTTAAGATATCTACAGTTTGTATTCAATAAGTAGTATTCACCCAACACGCCTACACAGCTAACTTATTGTCTGAGTTATTTCTTAGGCATGCTATTTAAGCATGTTAGTCTCTGTTTTGAAGTTTGTCATTTTCCTATTTGTAATTGCTCCGCCTTCCCCCCATCCTCCTTGCAGCCTGAAGATGCCACTGACGCTGCAATCAATTGGAGGTATGAAGGAAGTAACTTCTCTTTTTCCAAAATATGTTTCTTGTTTTATGGTTGTCCAGCAAACAATTAGGGCTTATCCCATGATCGCATCAAAAGTAGATGTGGTTCATAAACTATTGTCAGTTCTTTTGTTGTTGTTGTTATTATTATTTTGGGTAAGAGACAATTCATACCAAATAGGGAACGTGCTGTGTGACATATGGATCTCTTACTCTATTTGAGATTGATAAATCTGTTGGTTTGATTTTACTTTGCAACTAATTACTCTCGTCTCAGTCAAATTTCCTTATCTTTGGGTTTATGTTACATTATTTGACAGACAGGACCCAGACAACCAATTAAAAAGGGAGAAGGATGATCACAGTCAGGAATTTGACTTGCATAAAGGAGTCAATGTAAGTCTAGTAGGCTTATTCAGGACCCTAGTTTTCTCGAGGATTATATTTTTCATCTGGGTGTGGACTAATTTTAAAACTGACTACTTTTCTCTATAGGTTGATCGAGTTCAATCCTCTATATCAAGTGGTACGTTCCAAGTGCTATTCATGATATCTGGCTCATATATGATTTGGTTATTAAGTCATGTACGAAGGGGTACCTCAATATAGAAGCACAATATACTTGCAGATGGTTTCTTATTTTGAAGATTGATTTTGCTAATGACATTGCATCATTAGTTTTAGTTGCAATTTGCCTAAGCTGAGATAGATATTAAATACTTGATGAATTTTTTGACATCAAATGATGCAGGATTAGGTAGTTGTCTCTTGGGATTAGTCGGTTCGGAAACCTATGGTTTTCTATATAATTTTCAAATACCCTTCTTTAGAGTGGACTTGAAATGTTTATTATCTCTTGCCTACTTGAATTGTAGACTCTTTATACGCAGTGGATTTTATGCTTAATAAAGTGAATTATGAGAAGAAAATAATGTAATAATGACATAAAAGAATTGATTACAGTATCTAATGGTTCTTCTCCCACTGTTGTTAAAATAGAGAAACCATGCATTGAAAGACCCACCTCAGCCAACACTACTCCAAATGCATTTTCAGTCGGTGTATCAACTTCTTCACTTTCGTCCATTGATAGTAGCATGGACTCATGTCATAGTTCTATAACATCGACAATCGACGTAGCCTCTCCTCATGGTTCAGAATCCAATAAAAGTTCCAAGGTACATATCATTATCAACTCATCACTATCACTCCTATATTTGAAAGGTAGGATGTTAATGGGACATTTCTAGATACTTATTATTTTATTTGGATGATGTTAAAATATACCTTCCTTTTTAGGTTGGGCACTTTTAATGCTCAAACAGTCTCTGTTTGAGGGCGTTAGTGTCTAAGGATTTTTTACTTATTCTCTAAGTCATCATTTTGAATTGGAGACCCTTTTTGTATAGTAAGCTTTGAGGCTTCCTTTGTTGTACTGTATTTTTGTATGCCCTCTCGCTTGTTTTTGTATTCTTTCATTTATCTCAATAAAAGCTTGGTTTCTCATAAAAAGAAAAACCTTCATCCATTTTATTGGTTCAATTTTTATGTTAGAGATCATATGCCAGCGGTGGTTCAAAATTTATCATTGTGATTTATATGTAAAAAATTCTTCTCCTCTCAGCCAAACTTCCTTCAAATGAGTACAATTTCCTTGAATCTAAGAACTTTTTATCTTGGAGCCTTTTTTTGTTGATGGAACAAAAATTTATTGGTTGGATGGCCAAAAGCCTACAAAAGTTAAAAGGAGTTGCAAAAACGCACTCCAATTTGCACAAATCAAAGAAGAGCCATAGCCATAGTTGCAAAAGTCATTATAGAAAGTACTACCTGAATAAACAAAAACACCATAAAATTTCCATCTCCTTTTTTTCACCTAGGAAGAATCTCCTATTATTTTATAAATAAACCTTCCGAAGGAAACAAAAATTTGGTTTTCTTTTTCAAATAATGGCAACACAAAAGAGAGTACAATAAATTTCTCCTAATCCTTCTGAGCCTAGACAATTGTAAGACCAATTGAAAATTTTGGAGAAATTTTTCCTCCACAATTGCACTCTTAAAGGTACTAAAGGTGAAAGGAAAAGAGGTGGTCCGCCAATTCATCCTCTTTTTAAGTTTACCCATCACACACCAACTTGTAGAAAGACATAAGATCCTTCGATGAATCTTAATTTGAGTATTTTAGACCTCCCAGAAGATCAAGCATCTTGATCTTGCACAGATTTGAGAAAAAAAAAGTCTTTCTAACATTGACTTCCAAGGGCTTTTGATTCTTGACGCTTAACCCTGGCTTGAGCACCAACTCTCTAGAGCGACTGCTTGACTTTACACCTAAAACCTTCAGCCACTTCATGAAGGAAGATGCTGCTCATTGACCCAGAACACATTAGACCATGGATGGAGACCCTAGTTTTCATTAAGGAAGATGCTCTCATTGGCTCTACACCAAATCCATTAGCCACTTCTTTTTACCTTTGAGATAGTACAACTAATTCCAACTGCATTTTCGAAGGAGTTGAATTTTAAGCTAAACATTGATCGGATTCAAAAAGTTTTGGAAGATGAAGAGTCACTAGGGTTTTTTTGTACCTTTGCTATTTGATGAGGAAGATGAAACAACAACCGACCCTATTAAGGAAGTTGGTGGAAGTTATTCCATGCACGATTTGAAAATCAATGATAGACTAATGAAAGTGTTGTAGACAGCATGCGGAAGATGAAAAGTCATCTGATCTAAATGCACTTCCATCAATGGTGATTGAGACTATAATTGAACCTTTGGTAGATGAGGAGGCCAATTGTAAGTCCTTGGGGACATTATCATAGCAATACAACTGGATCTGGATGTTCAAGCCATTAATGTTTTAAATATGATCTTCCCATTATTCCCCTCTTGTTTAAGAAAGGTTCCGCTCCAAGAAGAAAATTAAAGCAGGCTTTTGCATTATATTATTCTCGAAGGAAGTACTGCAGTTCAGCTCCTCRACCCCAAATCCCAAGTAAGAGAAGAGTGGACTAACAATCAGCCACCACACTCTTTTTTGGACGAAATCCTATAGAACTCCAGAAAGCTACTAGATAAAGGAGAGGTGTCGATCCATTCATCCTCCTAGAATCTCACTCGATCCCCCTTGGAGACTTTGAAGGAAGCCATTTTCCAAAACACCCCTCTAATTTTATCAATGTCCGACCATGGGCGGCCTCTAGCTGAAACCTTCGAAGGTTTAGTCATCCAACCATGAGCCTCAACTCCGTAAATAGCTCCTATGACCCTCCTCCTCAGGCTGTTTTCTTCATGGGCAAATCTCCAATGCCATTAATGAAGAAGGGATCGATTTCTCTATTTTAAAGACCCCACCTCGAGCCCTCGTTTCTGGAGAAGCGAAGCCACGTTCCAATTTACAAGGGAGTTGCCTTTCTTATTGTTGCCCCCGTTCCAAATAAAGTCCCTCATCAGCTTTTCCATAGACAACACCACAGCCTTATGGGCTTCCAAAATAGAGAAATAGTAAACTAGAAGACTATTCAACACCGATTGTGCGAACGTGTGTCTACCTCCCTTCAAGAGCAAGTTCCACCATTTATCAAGCTTGGCTCTCATCTTGTCCACTAGAGGCTCCCAAAAGTTGACCGCCTTCTGGTTGCCTCCCAAAGGAAAGCCCAAATAGGAGCAGGGCAAGAACTCCACTTTTCACCCGAAAATACTACACCATGACGTTACAATAGAGTCCTCAAAGTTGATGCCTATCAAAGATGTCTTCCCCACACTAAGAGACAGGCCAAAAGCGAGCATGAAGATATTGAGAATATCCCCACCACTTAGTCAACATATTTGGGAGATCAAGGCTGAAAATTAGCACATGTCAGCATATTGAAGATGGGTTAACTCCACCTCATTGTGACCAAAAGAGAAACCTCTCAAGATATTCTTTTCCTTACAAAAATGAATCAAGCGACTGAGTGCATCCCCAACAAAAAGGGAGATGGGGGGTCACCTTGTTGTGGTTTATGAAATGAAATTGAATCTATACTTTCTTGTTGTGACAAACCCTGGTGCATTGGTGGTGACTTCCATGCTACTATATGGTATAATGAACATTCTATAGGTTGAAGAAGACAAAAGAAATATGAGGTTCAAAATCACTTGTTCTTCCCATTTTTCTATTCGATGGGAGGATCAAGACAAGATAGAAGGCTAATGAGGATCAAAACCGCATCTAAACGTTTATGTGGGCTTTCATATTACCTTTTTAGTTTGTTCTCTTTTCACTCCCAACGAGAATTTGTATCATTCAACATTTTTTGTTTCTTTTTATTTATCTCAAGGTAAATGCCATCTTTTTCTCAATGCTAAGAAACCCTTGAGAATTGGATCTAAGAACATTGCTATCAAACAAGACCCATAGAACTCAATCCCAAAAATCCCAAAAAACGATTAAGGAATCAACCCAAGGGGCAAGGAAAGTAAAAATCGGATTACCTTGTTGATCAAATATCTCAAGGCAAGAAAACTTGTTCCTTGTTTGAGATCCAAATCACTCCACAAGCAAGATAGATCAAGTCTCACTTGAATATTGTAAACATGCAAACTATCACAAGATTGTAAAATACATTAGCTCTTGGCTAAAAGAAAGCCTCAAAGGCTCAAAGGCTCATTTCCTTACATCTCAATTCTATATTCTCAAATCTGACATACATGGCTATATATAGGCCTTCAAAATAGTCCTTAAAGTAACATATGGGCATTTGAAGGGTTGGAACACTTAAGTCCAACAATGCCATAAACAACCATTAACTAATTGTAATCTAAAAAGGTAAATGAAAAGTCTTAAAACTTAAATACATCATAAATCTGAAAATTAAAGATGAAATTAGCAAACCAAGAGTTTTGTAACCATAAAGAATTAAATAAGTCTCATTTAATGTAGCATGAACTTGAGTTCCATAATTGATGCTCTTGTCTTGAATGAATCTTGAGTTGACTTGTATTTGCTTAGAATATGTTGGAGGTTCATATCACTCAACAATGTCTTTGTCATTTGATCCTATAACATTCTGTTAGATAGGAACATATTTGATGAATACTGATAACTCCTGGGTGGAGTTCTAGAGTAGAAAAATTCATTAGATAATGAACTATTGGTTCTAAGCCATCTCTGACGATGTTGGGATGAGGAGGATTGACATGGCGAACTGTCAGTTTTCGAATACGAGATATCCATCCTAGTCATTATGGACACATTTGCCCAATTGACGTGTCTAAAGGAATTAATGTTGGACTTATTGGATCATTAGCGATTCATGCAAGGATTAATCATTGGGGATCTCTAGAAACTCCATTTTATGAAATTTCTGAGTGAGAAAAAAAAGTGTGGATGCTTTATTTTGTCACCAAGTCGAGATGAATATTATATGGTAGCGACAGGAAATTCTTTGGCACTGAATCCARGTATTCAGGAAGAACAGATTATTCTAGCTCGATACCGCCAAGAATTCTTGACTATTGAATGGGAACAAGTTCATTTTGTTTCTTGTTAAAAAAAATAATTAATTATATCTTGGATAAAACTTTTTCTTAAAGATAAGAATAATTTTGAAGAGACTGCTCATCATTGTAGGATCTGCCAATTAAGCAAGGATAAAAGGGTGTCATCAAAGGACTGGAAGTCATTGAACTGAGTTCTTATCCACACTTAAAACCTCTAAGGATGGAAACTTAGAGGAATACAAGAATATGTTTGGAAAGTTGGGCACTTTCCAAGAGATTGGGAAGCATAAAGGTATGACCTTGGAAGAGTCTCGCCGTTTCTCAATCTGATCACCTGTTAGGAAATTAATGTAAAAGGAAGATATTCTAGAGGAAAATTTGATTACGCTGGTGTGGAAAGGTACGGTACCATAAAAGGTGAGACTTTCTAGGGGAGTTGCTTATTTAAATCATTAAGTGCCTCATATAGTTACAGAATACCCAAATTGGCACTTCCTTCAAACTTGTGTGTATTATCAATGTTTTAAAAGGCTAAAGGCAGCCTTGAGGCTTTTCCTCTTGAAGAGGCGAGGCGTAAGCCTTAAGGCGGTATGAGGCGCAAGCCTCAATTTTAATTAAAAGAATTATACAAATCTAAAATTTGTATGATCAAGTATTGTAAACATAATAGTTATATAAAAATATAAAAAAATCACCTATTAATTACAACTTAAATAAAAATCCTAATATTATCACTAATAGGATTGAATTATTCTATAAAATTTGTTTCCAATGTTTTTAAAGTCTAGGTAGTAAAAGTAGTAATAGATTGAATTGTTATCACTCCTAGAGCGCATTCCATATGCAAAGAAACCTTTATATTTTGTAAGAATTGGGCAAATTACTAATATTGTTCTAATCATTACACGAGGCATAAAGACTTTAAGTTCTCAGTGCATCTTCAAAGAGGCGTAAGCCTCTTATGGTTCAAAGAAGGTGTAAGTCTCGAGGCTAAAAGTTAGAACCTTGCCTCGAGACGAGCCTCAAGGCGTAAGCCTCAATAGCCTTTTAAAACATTGGTATTATGTCAAGCCAAGTAAGGAAGTCAACGTGGCTTGTTCCAGTGTGAGTTTAATTCAAAATGCCGGTATTCAATTCCAAATCTCCTAAATGTTGGATGGGGTTTTCACAACCCATGAAGAAATTCGCAGCAAATGGCAGGCAGGGGTTTGGGAGAAGAAGAAAGAGTCTAAAATTGCTTGGAAAACCTATTAAAAGCAGAATTATGTTTGGAAAGGAATTACAGAATTTTTGCAAATGGGGGAATAAAATGGGAGAACGTAGTTGAAAAGGCTTGGTTTAATGATTCTCTTTGATGGCTCTTTACACAAGTTATTTATAAATTATACCCCTTCCGTAATTAACTTTAATTATGGATTTTTTTGTTTCCTTTCCAAGGGGTTCTACACTTTTGTAACTTTTCAATATGTCCACGTAAAGTTCCTGTTCCTGTTTTTCTATAAAAAAGAATATCTACAATGAGAAATCCTGTACTATTTTAGGTTTTCCAACTAAGACCAAACTTGATATTTCGTCTTTCATAACTAATGATATATAATTCTTCTATTTATACTTCTGCAGGAATTTAAGCTCAATCCAAGAGCGAAACTTTTCTCTCCATCTGTTGCAAACAACATGACAGCATCTCCTGCAACACCGGTGGTTGCAAACGTGGCTTACATTTCAAACAGCTCACCAGTAGTACCTGTGGCTGTTGCACAGCCAGAGGTGGAGTTCAGTCCTTTTGTACCTCGTTCATCTGTGCCTCCCGCAAAGTTTGTCCCTTATGGCAACTCAATAGCTGGTTTTGGTGGCAATGTTGCTCAATTTTCGCAACCTGTACGTATTGTTTGGGCAGGTTTCTCTTTATCAGTTTTTCTTATCAAATTATCCATATAGCCTTTTGGGTCCTAAATAAGCTTGTCTAGTTTCTGTTTCTCTCTCACAACCAAAATATATGAAAGCTAACCCAGAGTCTGAATATGGACTCGTACATCTTTGTCTCTCCCTGGAAATTTTAATTTTAATTTATAAGATCAGTTCTTTAATAATTATATTTTATATATCTTGGGCATCAGAGATTTAATGATGGAGGAATGTCTTTGGTAATTAGGAATATTAATAGTATAGTAACCGTATATCAGTAATTAGATAAGAAATTGGTTAGTATGAATTTGTTATTAGATAGAGTGAGGGGGAAGCGATGAAGGTAGGCAATTGTTTAATGTGGTTCAGGCTGGAGTGATCTTAAGAGGGGAGGGTCTAAGTATCTCTAATTACTTGAGATTATTTTTCAGCTAGTTGGAATCATTCAGAATCTGAACTCCATGATTATTTTAAGGTGTTTGTTAGTTTCAACCTGATTACATCTAATTGATATAATTGTTCAGATAAAAAATATTGGTTTAAGTATCAGATAAGAAAAAACATATGTGCATGTTTTTCCTTGAATGTTTCTATTGGCATTTCTAACGATAATTTAGTGACTAAGATTAAGTGGTGAAAATGCGTGATGATGATTAATGATGGAAACAATTTTAGCACAATGGTTGTACTGAGACTTTGCTATTATAAYGAGCCACATGTAATAATTTAGTTTATTAGTTATATTATATTTCCTATAGAGTTCACCTTACCGGTAATAGCAGTATGGAAATTTCAGGGCAATGGCGGTAATAAACTTTTTTCTACAAATTTGCTGAACCGAGTTCTCTCTTTTATCTTTACTGCAGATGGTGGGACATGTGGGAACCAGGACGCAGCCACTTAGATATGTTGGTCAGTATCCTCTCCAGGCTGGCCCAACCTTTGGGCCCCCAAATTCTCAAGCAGTAAGTGAAAACCATTTTTTCTTTCAATTTAGTTTATTGCCACATGGTTGCAATTTTAGTGAGAATATTAGAACGTTTTTATAAATGTATTCATGACCAGATGGTCATATCTGTTGCTAATCTCTGCCCCTTAACTTCGACTGTTACAGGTTATGGTTGGACGTTTTGGGCAACTTGTTTATGTGCACCCTGTCTCCCATGTAAGCATTTAGTGTCCCATTTGTTAAAAGTATAAACCATCCTCCATCAATTTTATTGCTTCCTTGAATTATTTGACCTTGTTGAGTTAATATCTTTGTTCACTTTATGTTTCTTGATGCCATGAGCAGTTTAATATCTACTTGGAGTTTGACTTGTGAAGAATGTATGTTTTGCTTTGATATTTTCAATCTTTATGGTTGAAGCTCTTTGGTTTTTCCTAAAGGCCAATTATTTGTAATCTGTTTTCATGATGTTGCATCTTCCTCTGCCTTAATATTCTACTTCTTTTTGGTTTCTGTATCCCTTTTTTCTCATTTTTATTTCTCTCTTTCCGAAGTGTTTATTTATCTTTGTCACATATTGAAGGACTTGGCTCAGGGTACAACAGTCGTCTCACCGGTATCACCCTGCCCTTTGTTGACAACACAGCCAGCTCAATACCCAAAACATCAAGGTGAATTTCTTTTTCCTGATTGATGACAAGCATCTTGATGCATTGCTAAACTTTTATCATGAGTGTTGGTTTTTTCTTTTTAAAGATGATGCTTCTTTATCGGAAGAGGGAACGCATCGGTTCAAAAGTGATCTAAATAATACATCAATTTGAACTTGTTATTTGCCTTCTTCATCTAAATGGTGTCCTCTACAAATGCAGGAACTGCAGCAGCACAGCAGGCATTGCAGTTTTGTGTTCCTCCGCCATTTATGGCCAGTGGACACCAACCGCTCGCCGCAGTGCCAAACCACATTCCCATTTTGCAGCCTTCCTTCCCGCTGAATCGCCCAATGCAAATGCCAGGATCTAATGCATTCTTCAGCACCAAGTTCACATGAATTTGTTCCAACTGTTAATTCTTCGTGTAGTCAACCACAAGCTTAGCAAAATTTTGGTCCTCAAAAGTTTTTTCCTATTTTGTTCTGTTAATGGCATTTATTTTCTTGTGTGGGAGGGAGATGCATTGTTTCCATTCAATTCAAGACATTTTTCTTTTGATTGGTGGGATGAGGTCTGTTGAACTTTGTATAGGATGAACTAAAATTTGTTTAGGATGAGCATTATTTCTTGTGAGGGAGGGGAACTGTGTGGCCATTGTCCTTCATATGAGTTGGTTTAAAATTACAGAGGTGTGAAGAAAATTAAAAAGAAAAGGAAAAGAAAAGGCAGGATACTATTCTTTTGACTTTGGTAGCCATCTTGAATAAATGTGATCTCTTGCTGATTACAATGTTCAGAGATAATTTTATAGTTGCTTTTGCTCAATTTGATATTAAATTCGAGCCTTTTCATTGCCATAATAAAATGTATATGTTAATTCTTGCTTTAGTAACAAAAGTTTAGAACCATTGATGGCTGGCTTTTGAAGTTAACAATTATAACCACTCTTATCAATACTTGGCAGAATCACTTTCCAGTGTTTTTTTGTTTCAGAACTTTACATAAAAAAAAGTAGATTTTTACTGTTTAATCCTAATAATTACAAAAAAAACTCCAGTATCCAATTCAAATACTTACATATATTTTTTCTAGAAGTAATTACTCTGATGTCAAAATTTAGTTAAATAGTTTTTTGAAACTTTAATTCAGCGACAATAACTGAAAATTGTTATTTCAATCTAACGTTTAAAACTTAAAATAGAATATTTAAAAATTTATGAGTTCAAAATATATTACTTAGAACTTAAACTTCATGAAATCAAATAGTGAATATATTAAATGAAGTTAGATATATTTCAAGGTAAAGAGTAGTATTTGATTTGCACTAGCGACACGAGCATAGTTCTACTAATCAGACGTATTACTTACCTACCTTCTCGCACTTCAAATTCGAGATTTGATCCACACACTTGTTGAACTTATTAAGGAAAAGGAAAAAAAAAAGGGTCAGGTAGCAAATATTTTTCTTTTTTCTTTTTCCTTTTTTATGGATCAATTTGGCAATGAAATTTTTTTCCACATATTGAATCCAGCTGCCCAAAAAAACCTTGTAATTTAAGGCTCTTAGCTACCTTACTCCCACAAAGGAGAAAATGTCCATATCCAAATATCCCAACTAGAAAAATGTATTAACTTTCTAATGAAACATCCAACTACACTAAGTTAGATTAGACGTGAGGTAGCATCCAGAAAACAGCTACACCTTGTGATACCCCTTCCCTATACCGAAAATATTACTTTCTACTCAGATCTGGTTTTGGTTGCTAGCTTCTTCATCCCCAACCTCTGTTTTCGACTCCTCTGGTTCATCTGACTTCAGCATCAAACCCGGGTTCGGAACTTCAGCCCATGGCTCTGGATTTTGCATCATGTTTTCCTGCAAAACCTTGTCATCAGAGCATATTACTTCATTAGTGCTGGCAGTGGCATTAACCAAATGAGTTCCACATATAGAAAAGTTATCAGTATTAGTAGTAATGTAACCGAAGACTTAAGATCAGTATAAACATCGAAGTATTGCTTACCTGTAACAGCTCAGTCATTTTACCAGTTCTGGACTCGTCATCCAGAGCTTTGGGAATGGACACTGGACTGTCAGGAAGGGGTTGCACTGCTTTTAGGGGCTCAATCATCAAAGGTCCATCCACAATGTTAGCTGCAACCTCTGAGCTATCTTCACATTCTTTAGCTGACAATTTTTCAGTTTCTTTGTTATTCTCAGTCTGGATCTCAGCTGACAGAGAGGGGGCTTGAATTCTCTTGATCACTTCAGTCACAAGATTCTCAAAAGGCGTGCTAGGCATTGTCATTGATTTAGCTTCTGAATCATGCACTTCCACCACCGAAGATTGGTTGTGAGAATTATTTTCTATTGATGCATCATCTTGTAGGACCTGCTGGCTAGTTTGGGGTTGGAAAGGAAAGCTTTCAATCCCAATGGTCACGTTGGTGGGAGCTGATTCATTCGAGGTAAAAGTACCTACAAGAACCTCTTTCCCTTTTGAGGATTCCACCTCAGTAGTTTGAATTGTAAATGATTCATTCGCAACTGAGGGTCCATTTGTTGATTTAGCAGGTTGTAGCACAACTGGGATCACATTACCTCTTGAGCTTCCTGAAGGGGTAATTTGGGCAAATATGGACGATATAGTTTTGTCTTTTGAAGCATCCCAGTTCGAATGCGAAGGTGTATGTATGAACCCCAGCTTGGCACCTGATGAATCATGGGATGGGACTTCTCCATTTTTAGACCGGTGGTGGGTTTGATTTCCGGTACCAAAAGGAACTGTATTTCTTCGGATCATTTGAACATCTGGAGCTACGTCGTTCTCAGCCGAAACAGGAACATAGTGCCCAGGCTTAAAGACAACACCCCTCAAAGTGATTCCGGAGTTGCCGACCCTAACACACAGCAGATATCCAGCTTCGAATACTGCCTCAATGACACCAGACACAACTTGTCCCAGCATACCGTCAGCTGGGCTTTGAATTGGAATTGTTGGATGTGATTGGTTTCCATTCACTCCAGAACCAGGTGAAATAGGAATTGCCTCCAAATGTTTTTTACCTCTATTCTTTGCAATAAGAAGGCTCTCATCATAATTTAACTTCGGATATTTTCTTGGGCGACCACGTTTTCGCTTCAAGGGAACATCAACCAAGTTATCAGAGCTGATTCCTTGGTCAGCCTGACTCATCCTCTTTAATCCCAACAAATGGTTGCTTGTTCAGAAGAACTGATTACTTCCCTCCCCCTGCAGCAAAATGTACAGTATATGTCAAGCTTACAAAAAGG